CTCTTACATCTTATGGATTTACCAATCGTCTTAATTCTCCATCTTCTGGTTACTGACCTTGTAACCAGTGGAAACCATTTCTCCTTAGGTGCTCCATCCAAACTCTCCAGAATTATGAACACCTTTATTAATTCTGCAGTTAACATCTTCCTTACAGAGAATAGTCCTGGCTTGTCCAGTCTACACGACAAACATTTGAATAGGAGGGTGTGCAGCCTTTCATCCACTTGAGGCCACTCGCCACTCAGTATGATCATGGCTGATATGTTTATGTTTTGAATACCTCATTCCCAAACTAGCCTGATAATCTTCGATTTCCCTGCTAAACAGGAAATAGATATTCATCTCTCTCCCTTTAAGACATTCAATGACCCCACCTCCATCGCCTTCTGAAGCAAAATCTCATAACCCTCTGAGAAAGAATTCTCTTCATCTCTATCATAGAGTCATCCAGCATGGAAACAGACCCTTCGGTCCAACCAGTCCATGCCGACCATAATCCCAAACCAAACTAGTCCCACCCGCCTGCCCATGGCCCATATCCCTCCAAACGTTTTCTATTCATGTACTTAGCCAAATGTCTTCTGAACATTGTAACTGTGCCCACATCCACCATTTCCTCAGGATGTTCATTCCACACGTGAACCACTTTCTGTGTAAAAAAATCTGCCCCCATCTTTTTTTAAATCTTTTTCCTCTCACCTTAAAAATGTGCCCTCTAGTCTTGAAACCCCCCATCCTCGGGCAAAAACAACTACCATTATCCCTATCTATACCCTTCAAGATTTTATAAATTTCTATCAGGTCACCTCTCAAACTCCTACACTTCGGCAAGAGAAGTTTCTGCCTATCCAACCTTTCTTTATAAGTCAAACCTTCCGTTACCGGCAACCCTGGTATATCTCTTCTGAATCATCTCCAGCTAAGTGATATCCTTCCTATGACAGGGCAGCCAGATCTGGACACAGTATTCCAGAAGAGACCTGTCCTGAAAGGACAACTCCTGATTTTAAAACAGAGCCCATGGTCTGGACCCCACCCACAAAATATCACTCCCACATCCGTCTTGTCAAGATCATTCAGTATCTTATAAACTTCAATCAAATCACCCCTCACTCTTCTCAACTCCAGTGGAAACCTGCCCAACCTGTTCAACTCCTCCTCAGATGACAAACCACTCATTCCAGTAAACCACCTCCAATGTATTTACTTCACTATTATCTTGTACGACAAAGCTTGGAATTGATCCATCCTTTGGCATTTCAACATTCAGTGGGTGAAGTCCACCTGTTTGTCTACTGAAAAGTGAAATCCATAGGGATCACTACTGGCAGAGAGGGTGCTCCATAAGGATGGATCCAGGGTGGAGGGGGAAAGATTTGTACAGAAGATGGGATACATTGAAACCGCCCGCCTCCAAACTCTCCATTCCCACGCCCACTTGGCTAATGAACACCATTCCACGAAGCTGGTTCTCATAAACAATCTGCCAAACCCCAAAATCGAGAGATGAGGAGAGAATTATTGGGTAGTTGTAGAAACATGAACGTTTACAGTCCAGAAGAAGGCCATTTAGCCTACCTTGGTTATCAGCAAAAAGCCGACATCCTATCCAACCTATCCCACTTTCCAGTTCTTGGTCTAATAGGTAGATAGATAGATAGAATTCCTACAGTATTCGGCCCATCAGGTCCGCACTATCCTTCTGAACAGCATCCCACCCAGACCCACCCCTCTAATCTATCCCCTTAACACCCATTTCCCATGGCTAACCCACATAGCCTGCACATCCCTGGTCACAATGGGTGATTTAGCATGGCTAATTCAGCTAATCTTCACATTTTTGCACTGTGGGAAGAAACCCAGCACCCAGAGGAAACCCACACTGTAACTCTGTGAGGCATCAAGTTCATATCCCAGTGTCTTAGAGTCATTGAGGTCTACAGCACAGAAAAAGGCCCTTCAGCCCATCAGATCTGCATTTGTCTAAAGCAAGCACCTAACTATTCTAATCCCATGGGTCTAATCTTATTCTAATCCCTTCCCAAAGCTACTTCATCTTTTGGGAGAGCCAAAAAGTAGCAGATTAAAAGCCCAGGCTAGTTTGGAAAACAAAGAGCTTGGAAATCATTTCTGAGATTCTTCAATTCTCATCCTTTAAGGCAGTGAACTTTAGATCTGCTCCAATCTCTGGGTGAACAAACTTCTCCTCTTCTCCCCTGTCAACCTTCCATCAATTATTTTAAGCTTATGGCTCCTGATTATTGACCTTTTCTGTAAATCGAAATAAGTCCATCCCACCCACTCTATCTAAGCGGCTCAGAATTTTATACACCTCAATTATTTCTTCTCTCAGCTTCCTGAGTTCCAAAGAAAACAACCTCTAATCTCTCCTCAGAGCTGGAATTCTCCAGCTCATCAAAAAGATCCACATTGTACAACACCAGAAACCAATTACAATGACCCAGGAATGCGGTGGCTCAGAATGGAATGCAAGTCTGATGTAGTCTTTACAAATCTCATGGTGATAAATGGCTAAGTATGTTGAAAGATAAACAGAAATCCACCGTGTACCTTTATTGTGATGACTGTACTTCCATCAGAATGGTTCAACCTTCTAGGATTGCATTACGCTCATAGAATAGTCATAGAATCCTTACAGTGTGGAAACAGGCCCTTCGGCCCAACAAGTCCACACCAACTCTCAAAGCATCCACGTAGACCCATCCCGCTATGATCCACCTAATCTGCATATCCCTGGACACTATGGGCAATTTAGCATGGCCAATCCACCTGGCCTGTACATCTTTGGACCGTGGGAGGAAACCAGAGCACCCGGAGGAAACCCACGCAGACACGGGGAGAATGTGCAAAGAACCCGGTTTCCTGGCGCTGTGAGGCAGCAGTGCTAACCACTGAACCACCAGGCCGCCCCACAGTGCATTACAACATAGAACATAGAACAGTGCAGCACAGTACAGGCCCTTCGGCCCATGATGTTATGCCGAACTTTTACCCGAATCCTAAGGTCTATCTAACCTCCACCCCTACCTTATGCTATCATCCACCCCTACCTTATACTATCATCCATATGCCTGTCTAATAGCCGCTTAAATGCCCCTAATGAGGCCGACTCCACTACCCTCTCCGGCAATGCTTCCCACGCCCCTATAGAACAAATGCTCTCAAAGAGGAACAAGAACAAAGACCTTCGTTTACCTCAGAGCAACTCACTTCCTTTTTAAAGTAATTTCCTCCCTCGCACCTGGCTTTTGCCTGTAGATTTGGTATCTATCTTTCTTGGTGAGGCGTTGAATAATGAATGGAATGATCTTGCCCGTGAGGTACAAGGCCTGGAGCAGTTCAATTGCTGTGAAAGAACATGGCTGCCATGTCTGGGCTGCTCTTGATGACCTCTCAAACAAACACCTGACAGGAAACATTTGGCCCATCCAGACTATCCCACACCCAGGGTTATCCTCTGCATACACTCCTCACCTTACGCAAAGACACTTGATCTTTTGGGAGACCCAATAGATAGCAGATTTAAAACTCCAGCCAGCTTCAAAAACAAAGCGTTTGAAAAATTTCTCCTGATCCCTTTAGATAATCCAAACTGGCTCGTGGAGGTCAAATCTACTTTTTCGACAAGTGATTGCCACCAGCAACTCTATTGTCCGTTGCTTCGTTACCACTGGTAGAAACATCACTGGCTAAACCAGATGATTTGAAGCCTCTTTAATAGCTCGCTAACTAAAGGTGAAGTAACAAGTGGTACATGCAACGGATTTGAAGCTGTGTTTATACAGAAGAAAGAGTGCAACAACTTTACTACTTTTGAATATTGTCTGTCTCACCCTGTGAGAAAGAATGGCCTATCTGGATTGGGCAGCAAAATAAATGGCTGAGAAACTATAACAGGGTACAAGGGATTGGGATTACCCGAGGAACTGACGTTCTTTTTTTTGAGATGTGTGGGACACATCATAGAGGAAATCATACAACAATTTGCAATCCTCTATTTCAGCAATGGTTTGACATCAATTTTTGAAACTGGCCATTCCATCAAGTATAGCAGATTGGGAAACATGAGCTAATTGTGGTGGCTAAGTGTGTGCGTGTGGTGTCACAGTTCACTCAAGTCTGATAACGTGCACATTTACCTGCACCTTGCAGTTTGGATCAATGGAGATGTTATCACACACCTCTGGAGCAAGTGGGACTTCAACCTCGGTGTCCTGGTCCAGAGGTGAGGGTACTACCACTGCACTGCAAGAACCCTTGGCTGGAGCTAAGAATAGTGATGGAAGAGGCTCCAATTTCTTTCTGACCGATGGTTGACCAGGAATCCCTCCAGCCCGTTCTCAGCTCCTGCTTTTGGTATGTGTTGGACAGACTTACACAACTGAAATTCAACCTGTTTGGTCTCTTATGAATGCACCTTCCTTAGCCATCAAGTCCTAGAATGGGACTCAAACTAGGACTTTCTGACTCACAGACAGGGACACTACCCACTACCCCACATAACTTTCTATAGAATAGGTAGAAAGAAATTATTTCCATTGGTGGAGAATCCAGAAACTATCAGGACACAGTAATCCACTTGATTGATACACCATCCTTCACCTTCAACATCCACCCCCTCCACCACCGATGTTCAGTAGCAGCAGCGTGTACCACCTACAAGATGCCCTGTGGGAACTCACCAAGGCTGTGTCAACTGCACCTTCCAAACTTGCTACCTCTACCATCTGGAAGGACAAGGGCAGCAGAAACATGGGAACACCAACACCTGAAAGCTCCCCTCCAAGACACTCACCATCCTGACTTGGAAATATATCACCGCTCCTTCACTGTTGCTGGGTCAAAATCCTACAATTGCCTCCCTATCTGCGCTGTGGGTCTACCCACAGCACATGGACTACAGCAATCCAAGAAGGCAGCACATCATCTTCTCATGAAGGGGCAACTAGTGCACCCAAATACCATGAATGAACAAAATACAACCCGGGGCCACATACTCATGTATAAAGATATCAAGCCACGGTGTCAATGGATATGGAATCAGGACAAATTGGATGGAGTTGAGGTTCAGATCTGATACATTGAATGGAATATTTGGACAATTCAGACGTTGAATAGCCTGCTCATGCTCGTACGTTTCACGCAGTCAAGATGCAATGGTAAAAGGAAAGCCATGTGACAATCAGAGTTCCTTGAGAATCAGATGATTTTTAGCTAAGATTATAGGACAAGATCAAGAAACTGGCTTCATCATTCTCCTCTGATGAGACATTGGAGATTGCAAACTTCAACATCGTTCTCACGCATTCACCTCCAAATGACCTGAGGAACGAGAAAATATTATTTGGCTCAAATTAGTTAATGACACAGCAGTGAACCAGGGAGTGGGACTTACCAAGAGAATGTCTGCAATAATTGCCCAATTCAAAGCGAGTAATGTCTCTCCCAAGGCAATGAAAACCTTTGAGAAAAAAAAAACATTTTACTCAGGGTGTCATCCTGCAGTAAAACCAGACACCAGGCAGCATGCAGTTACTATGGAGTTGCCAGATCGATGATGATCATTGTTTTCGATAGACCCTCACCTTCAGCATGGTCACCAGTATTTGAATGTAACCAATGGATAATGGGAAATACACCAAGTGTTTGCAGTGACACTTGCTGCTCACGAGCTGGTTACAACTCAGTCATGTTCACACTTCAAGATAAAAAGGTTCATTAGTAACAGCAGGGGTGAGGGATGGTTGACAAGGAGGAAGGCCGGTCAGTGGAAGAGATCGCACAATCTCATATCCATCCTGCAGAAGGCTAAATACCTTCAGCTGTGGAACAGGTCAAAGGCTCAGCACGCTAGAGGCAAAGGGGGTACCATCTATACAGGACACCACGCTGCCCGGGCCAGGCACACACGGAATGTCCCGCTGCCCGGGCCAGGCGCACACGGAATGTCCCGCTGCCTGGGTAATGATACACTGTCTGGGTGTTTTGTTTATGAGTTTGCACAATTCCCTACCATCCTGATGAACATGAACTGTAAACTCACTACAGCTTGAATGCACTGTCTCTGATGTTATACCAGTGTTGTAACTGTAGACAAGCAATGAATTATACATAGTAGATGCTGAATTATAGAAGCAGATAAATTCTCAGACTCTATTTTAGCTACGACTCTTAGACAAAGGCATGTACAAGGCTGTAGTACAACACTTTGTGTATTATGAGGGTCTATTTCAGTGAGTGCAATATGTTAACCATTTAACCATGTCGCTGATACCACCCACAGTGGTGATGGCCTCTTAGTATCATCACTGGAGCATTAATCTCGGAGACCGAGGTAATGTTTATTATATACATTCTATATACCTCAAACTCAGGCCTGAGCACTCTGTATAGGAGTGAGGGGATGAACTGAGGAAAACAAGAGCACTCAACGTGTCAAACCTGGAGAATAAAGACCAAAAGGGAACAGAAGCAGAATTAATGGATCACAGAATTGGGAACTGTCTGTCATGACAGTTGAAAATTTAAAAATGGGGCAGCATATCGGCTCAGTGGTTGGTACTACTACGTCCCAGCACCAGGGACCCGGGTTCAATTCCAGCCTCAGGCAACTGACTGTTTGGAGTTTGCACATTCACCCTGTGTCTGCGTGGGTTTCCTCCGGGTGCTCCAGTTTCCTCCCACAGTCCAAAGATGTGCAAAGTAGGTGGATTGGCCATGCTAAGTAAGCCATAGTGTCCAGGGACATATGGTTAGATGGATTAGCCATGGGAAATGCAGGGTCGGGGGTTGAATCTGCGTGGGATGATCTTCAGAGAGTGAATGTGGACTTGTTGAGCTAAGTGGCCTGTTTCCACACTGTAAGGATTCTATGCTGTTCTATATAATAGAAATCCTGATATCAAGAAATCCATTATAGATTTAAAAAAATGCAACCACAGTTTCTGGCGTTGGTCATGTGATTAGGCTACTCATTTGCACAGTGCATGTAAGTGAACTTGAAGTTTGTTGTGGATCTGTCTGTGAGGAAAAAGCAGTATCAAAACGGTTTGTGATCAATGTGAGTGCTTTACTTTGGGAGCAGATACACCAAAAGAAGTATCCACGTGTGAAGCAACGATTGTGCATCAGGGACTCTCCAGTGCACATGGCATTGACATGGCCCTGTCAGTAACTTCTATTGGGCAACACTGGTTTGGGTATCGTGGGCCTGCATCTTACCATATTTTAGGCAGCATGTCAAATACAGCAAATCTTATGGAGGGTTTCTATCCGTGAGGCCTAGAGAGTTTTATCACATTATTGTCCCAAACCTGTCTCATTAATCTCCCGCCCATCCCCACCCCACAGCACCCTTCTTGTCCAATACTAGCCTGATTCCACCATGTGCCACAGCCCGAAGAACTCCCCACTGCCTGGATATCCCAAATGGACTGGCATCCCCGACAACAGTGCCATCTTCAGTCCAGAGCTGACCCACACGGTTCAGGATGTAGCACAGAAGGGATAATGGGCATTCCACTTTCCAGACAGGGTCTGGAGGCCCTGCTGGATATTGGTTGGGGGGAGCTGTTTCAGACATGGTTCATTCTCTACTCCCTGGACCAACAGAGAAGGACACAGCAATAGGGCATACCAGCTGCCTGGGTCAGTGTAGTCTGCAGGAATGCCCAGCGATGTAAGAAGGAGGTTAATGAACATCTCTTCTCTGCCTGGGTAAGTGCTACCATCTTCTCACACTCCCTCCCTCTCTCCCTGCTACTGTACCCAGCTCCCACTCTCCTCCTCTCACTATTACCTGTAACACCTTCCCCCACTTACCCTCATCCACACCACCCCCTCACCACCCCTTAACTCACAAGGCCTCTTTGCTGCCTACTCACTCACTTGGCATACCTCACCACCTTTTGCCCACCCTCACCAGCTGTGCCACCCATTTTCATCTCCTTTCTTTCAGCCCAGGAGAAAACAGCCCACAAAACTGGTGGTAGGCTTCCTGGAATCCCTATAGTGTGGAAGCAGGCCATTCAGCCCATTGGGTCCACACTAACTCTCCATAGGACATCCCACCCAGACCCACACACCTAACCCTGTAACCTGGCATTTCCCCACATCTAATCCACCTAGCCTTCACACCACTGGACACTACAGGCAATTTAAGCATGGCTAATCCACCTAACCTGCATGTCTTTGTTACTGTGGGAGGAAACCGGAGCACCCAGTGGAAACCCACGCAGACACGAGGTGAATGTGCAAACTCCACACAGGCAGTCACCCAAGGCTGGAATCGAGCCTGGGTCCCTGACACTATGAGGCAGCAGTGCTAACCACTGAGGCACCGTGCCACATGCAGGTAGGCACTGAGTAAGGCACAGAGCAAGTGAGCAGCCCTGAGATGCAGCCTGGTCCTGCACACTGTAGGCTGTAAGCAGCATCACAACAGGAGGTGGTCAGAGAGGAAACTGCATCTTAATGACGTGCATTATGCATTTACTGAGGGTGATAGCGAGCGATAATTCCCAATAATTGACATCTCCCCACTCCGCAGCGAGTACCTCATCTCAATGCCCAGAATTCTGTTGGAGCATGCAGCAAATTGGTCCCGACATTGGGAACTGTCTTGTTTAACTCCCAGCGGGAGTCTCCCAGATTTCCCACCATCGCCCACATCGTTCTGCTCAGTGGGTTATGTACTTTATGGAGGGTGATGTGTTCTACAAGTCTGTGTATCATACAGTACAGATACGATTGTGTTTTCTTGTACATTGAATCAGTGAATGCTACAACAGTTTGGCCCATCGTATCTGTTAGTGGTTATAGGCCCTTAGTGTGTGTGGCTGTGGTGTTTACTTCATTACACAGTGTCAACAAAACAATATAGGAACAGGTGAGTACAGGGATTTGGATAATTAATTTTAAAAAACTAAGATAAATTATTTAACGGGAAAAGTAATTCTAGGGATAAGTTTATGAATTGCAGGAAATGCTTTCTTCTGAAAGTGTTTGCCTATTTAAATAATGTATTTTCTCCTGCAGGAATTGGATCAGATTGGGGAATTTAGTTAGGCTTAGTGCCAACAGGGCCGACAAAACGTCCTGAAGTCGTGTATTCATGCAATAGCCGTGAACCTGATGTTCTAACTCTCAGCTTTCACTGGGTTTTAAACTTGTTTCATTTTTATTACATACAGTCTCACCATCTACTGGCTGGAAAGTATATTACTGCCTTCAGCAGCTATTCAGACCCTGCAAAACAGCAGCGTTAGCAAACACTTGCCCACACTGTGTTGCAGTCCTTTTCATAGAATCCATACAGGAGCCCTTTCTACAATGATATAACGGGGTTTTGGCTATAACAGTGGACAGGGCAAAATCCCAAATCATTTTAATACAAATCACATTATCAGTGAGAAAATACTCAGCTTCCATTTGTCTTTCACCATTGTATACGTGTCGAGGTTTGTGTTTGTGCTGTCTGTATGCGTATCTGACTGTGTATCTGTCTGTGTGTGTGTGTACTCTGAATTTGTGTCTCCCTGTGCATGTATGTGTCTCTCTCTTTCTGTCTGTCAGCATTTGTGTGTGTGTGTGTGTGTGACTCTAAATGTGTATGTGTGTGTGTGTCTCTCTCTGTATATGTCTCACTGCTTGTGGATGTGTCTCTTTCTCTCGATCTGTGTCTCTGTATGTGTGTCTGAGTCTGCATGTGTGTGCGTCTGTCCATGTCTCTGTGTGTGTGTGTGTGTGTGTGTGTGTGTGTGTGTGTCCGTGTCTGTGTGTGTGTGAGAGGGAGAGAGATTCAGTCTGTGTGCGTGGTGGGGGCGGTGTTCAGCTACCAATAGAGATGGGATGTGAGCACTGTCTCAGGAGGTCAGTAAGTGATTGCACCTTCAAATTACCAACTCCCAGCTCCTCAGCAGTTCCCCTTTTTTATTTCAAATGAGCTACGAACAGAAGAATAGAATATCAAGGTCAAATTAAAGTCAGTGGGTATCAAGTGGATAATTCCCTTGTCACAGTTCGCTCAAACAGAAGGCAGCTGTGGTAACTGGAGGTCAGGTGTCTACCTCCTCTTTCAGGGGAATGTAAACAATCTCATGCACAATGTGAGATTTCCCCAGTGTCTTGACCAATCTCATACTTCAACCAATATTATTAAAACTGCTCATATAATTATTATCACACTGGAATTTCTGGAACTTGCTGTGTATAAATTGCCACATTTTACAAATTACAAAAGTGACTACATTTCAAAAACCAGTTGTGAGTCTTTGAGACGTCTTGAGATTGTGGAAGGCGCTATAGAAATGTCAATTTCTTCTTATGAAAAATGCAAATTATTAGAAGCAATTCTTACAGATAGTTCCTTCACATCTTGCAATCTCCTGATTACATTGTTCTTAACCAACAATTAAAAGTATATCTGAGCAGCTCCTGGATGTTCATTAACATCAAAGGCATTACTGCAGTTAGATACAATTGGTGGAAAGCATTACTGTAGTACTTCGTATTATCGAGTGACCGCAGGAGTAATGTCAGGATTAACTCAAAGTACTGTAAACACTGAAATCAGGATTAATATCAGATTAAATTAGAGTAGTATACAGCAATTTTAGGAGTAATTTTAGGTTTCATTGACAGTAGTATAGAGTGAGAGCAATACTTACGTATGTCGCTGCAATGCTATGCCAAAACCAGTACAATGGCGAGGTAGAGGCAGAGACTAGAACTCAACATGCCGGCTGCACAGCTGAGAGGGTCAGCTCTGGGGCTCTTCTTTTTAAAGTGCTTCGAAAGCGCAGCTCCAATTCCGATCCCGAGGATTCCAGTCACGCAGGTAATGGCTCCAAATATTAAACTATACAAAGTAGAAGTGAGTGCAGAATATACAGTCACTGGCAGTGAGTATGGAGCACACAGGAGTATCAGCAACATGGGCTGATACAGCATCAATACATCCAGCCTCCCTGGTCATGCTCGGGCTGTGCTGTGATCTGTTATATTCCTCCATTTAACCTGTTTCCGTCTCGTTTCTACCTCATTTTAAGAAATGCAAGTTTTCATCCCCTACACTCACAAATGATAAGTTCACCCAGCACCTGAGGCAAATATAAGACTAAATTAAAGGACCTTCCCCATTAAATGTGTGTAAAACGTTTAAAGCTTAAGAGAAGATTTGTAGCTCGGGTTGTGGATGAGCTTGTAGGCATGTTCGCTGAGCCGGTGGGTTTGGTTGCAAACGTTTTGTCACCCTGCTCGGTAACACTGTCAGTGCGCCTCCGGTGAAGCGTTGGTGTTCTGTCCCGCTTGTTATTTATATGCCTCGGATTGCTGGGGTGTTTGGCATCACTTCCGGTTTTGTTTCTCAATGGTTTGTACACAGGGTCTAATTCAATGTGTTTGTCGATGGCGTTCCGGTTGGAATACCAGGCCCCAGGAATTCCCTGACATGTCTCTGTCTGGCTTGTGTGATTATGGAGGTGGTGTCCCAGTCGAATTCGTGTCCCTCGTTGTCCGTGTGTAGTGAGACCAGTGAGAATTGGTCGTGTCTCTTGGTGTCTAGTTGGTGCTCGTGTATCCTTATTGTCAGTTTTCTTCTGGTCTGGCCTATGTGGTGTTTCTCACAGTCCTTGCGTGGTATTTTGTATTTTACCCCAGGTTTGCGGGTTTGGGGTTTGGGATCCTTTACGTTCATCAGTAAACTGTCGCGAGGTGGTTGTCAGTTTGTGAGCTATCGAGGGGTCTGAGTAGTCTTGTGGTCACCTCTGAAATGCCCTTGATGTACAGTAGGGTGATTAGTGAGTCTGGTCGTGTTGTGTCTTCTTGCTGTGGTCTGTCTCAGAGGTAATGGCAGATTGTGATTTTCGGATATCCATTCCTTTTGAAGACTACGTATAGGTGCTTCTGTTCTGCTTTGCGTAGTTCCGGGTTGCTGCATTGGACTGCATTTCAGAGATGACCACAAGATTACTCAGACCCCTAGGTATCAGGGTAGCCCACAAACTGGGTCCAATGCAGGCAAATGGGGCTAGTTTAGTTTGGGAACATGGTCAGCATGGATGAGTTGGACCGAAGGGTCTATTTCTGTGCTGTATGACCCTATGACTCCTACCTGCCGTCCAGCCTAGAAAAATTTGTCAGATGCATCCAGATGCAGGGTAACCAGAGGCAGAGATCAAAGGGAAAAGAGGGGCAGGGAGAGAAAGCTCTCTCTGTCCCGACCAGAATGACTGCCACTCACCCTGCCAGTGCTGCCATCTAATGGTCCTGGTGGCAAGTGTTGTTTGAGGCAGTTGGGCAAGGAATCAAGTTTTCAGGGGATTTCCACTGAGGGAGGGACACCATGGCAAGGCTGGCATTTATTGCTCATTTTCTATAGCTGTTTTTCATCCACGTTTAAAGAAGGATGTATTTGCACTGTGACAGCTCGCTAGACTGAGTAAGCAGGTAAGGTATTTTCCCTGGGGTGGGGGAATCCAAAACTAGACGGCAGAGGTTTAAGGTGAGAGGAGAAAGATTTAAGAGGGACCTGAAGGGCAACTTTTTCCCCACAGAAGGTGGTGCGTGTATGAAACGAGCTGCCAGAGGAAGTGGTGGAGGCTGGTACAATGACAACATTTAAAAGGCATCTGGATGGGTATATGAATAGAAAGGGTTCAGAGGGATATGGGCCAAATGCTGGCAAATTGGACTAGATTTATACAGGATATGTGGTTGGCATGGACGAGTTGGACCAAAGGGTCTGTTTCCATGCTGTATATCTCTATGACTCTACATGAGTGAGTGTGAGAGAGTAATGTATGTCTGTCTCATACCCATTTAACTACAGCAGTGTATAAGAAATGAATTAGTAACTAATTAATTCGTGATAAGAAAGTAATGCTTTTCTTGTGCACCATGACTGGCAATTGTTGAGAAAATTGATCTAATTCTGTTTTGATGCCAAATCCCCCACACTACAACACAATTACCGAAGATATTATTGTGATATGACAGCACCCAATAAATGAATGAAAAAGGAGACCCCAAAAACCAAAATTAGCCCCTGAGAATCAAAAGGTAGCCCTCAAAAATAAAAATATATTGTGCCCTGGTTCCTACAGGCCCTCAATAAACAAGTTAGTTTTTTACTCCAGGCCTTTGAATTACTATCCATACCGACAGCCCCCAAATGATTATAGTTAGTTGAGTGAGGAACGCTGGCCACCCTTACCTGTCCTGTGACTTGTTGCCATCAGTGCCCTGTGCTCGCAGCAGGAAGATGGGAGCCCAAAAGCCGAGTGCACCGGTCGTGAATGTGACTGCGGCAGTGCCAAAGGATGACAGCACAAAACTCCAGCTGGAAGCAGACAGCAAGAGGATTTATTGGGTTTTTCTGAGGGAGACAGGGTCCCCTCCTGCTCACTGAGCCTCACTGCAAACAGTAGGCACTGGCACATCTCCTTGACCAAAGGGCAGACACAGTCAGCACGGAACCTCCACAGGCCGCCCTGCCCCAGGCCGGTCTCCACCTCGTCTTACAGCATAGAACATAGAACTGTACAGCACACAATGTAATGCCGAGCATGATGTTGAATTAGATTAATCCCTTCTGCCTGCCCTTGGTCCATATCCCTCCATTCCTTGCATATTCATGTGCTTATCTAAAAGTTCCTTCAATGTCTCTATCATATTTACCTCCACCACCACCCCTGGCAGCGCATTCCAGAATCCTACCACTTTGTGTGTAAAGAATCTTGCCCCTCACATCTCTTTTGAACTTTCCCCCTCCTATTAGATACCCCAACTCCAGGAAAAAAAGGATTCTGGCCATCAACCCTATCAATGCATCTCATAATTTTATAGACTTCTATTAAGTCTCTCCTCAGCCTCTGCCACTGCACAGAAAACAACCCAAGTTTTCCTAGCCTCTCCTTATAGCTCATACCCTCTAATCCAGGCAGCCTCCTGGTAAACCTCTTCTGCACCCTCTCCAAAACCTCCACATCCTTCCTGTAATGTGGTGACCAGAACTGAATGCAATACTCTAAGTGTGGCCCAAACAAAGGGCAGCTCTCCTGCCCAAACTGAATTTGGCCATTTGTCTCAGTTCGCCAGAAACTCTAACATTCCCCATTAACAGGATGAAGGGGGTCTGTAACACAGGCAGCCCTTGTGGCTCTGGTGTTGACGTGAAAAGTCCGAAATCACATTGAGGCACCCAGTACAGAGCCTTTGTCACCTTCACATCGAGTAAGAGGTGACTCAGAGAAAATCTGGAGATTGGGCCTCTTTGAGGAATCACCGATAGAGGATCTGACCTCACCCTATTGGGTGTGAGGTTGGGGTGGGGACTACTCTAGCTGTGGGAGAATATCAGTCGGTGATAGAATCACTACCAGCTCCCATGGAGGATGTTAGAGTGTTCCACCAATTAGCAACACTTATATCCAGACAATCAGTGAGTCGCTGTTGGTGATAAAGGGAAAGATACCAGTTTACTGGAAATTAGCGGTGCAATGTCAGTGAGGTACTATTAGTTGCTGGTGGAATAAATTTGAGGCCAAACCAAGAAGGAGTTAGGTACGGTTCATAGAGCAAAAGGGATCAAAGGGTATTGGGGAGAAAGTGAGAACAGAACTTAGTTGGATGATCAACCATGATCACATTAAATGGTAGAGCAAGCTCAAAGGGCCGAATGGCCTCCTCCTGCTGCTATTTTCAAAGTTTCTATGAACCAAAGATTCTCCCATCTCAGGTTTTCCCTCTGGGAATCGTTCAGAGCCATCAGCCTCCTCGCCACACCCTTCAGGGCACCGCCGCCTACCTCTCATTGTCTAGAGGGTCCACTTTCAACAACGCAAAGATTGATATACCTTAGAGTAACCCATATACCACAGGCCAATCTGTATACTTACTCAATGTGTGTACCAGTACGTACTGGTGTCCCAGGACACACATTGACTGGGTGTGCCGGTCCACCTGGAGATGAAGAACTGGCGATCATCCGCAGGGCTTGAATGGCAGCTCCATGAGGAACAGCAATGGGGAAATGGGGGCTTTGGGGAGGGAATCCGCAATTGGACATGACTGCTCTACACCAACATCAGTCATGCAGTATCAATCAAGGGGCAGGAATCAGAGAGCTGCCTTGTTTGTGTGTTGGATAGAGCCTTTTGCCGAGTCCATCAGGAAGGACGGGAGTGTGAGAGGGGGTGACTATTCCAGGCAGGGGAGTCCTGCAGGTCAAAAATTCCCTGTACACAGATGATGTCGCCGTTTTCTGCTCAGATCCGCTGCCCACGAGCAGATTCCTGAGCATCTGCGACCGGTTCGAAATGGCCTCAGCAGCCAAGGTAAATCAAGGCAGGAGCGAGGTCATGTTCTTTGCGAACTGGGCCAACAAATCCTTTCCTATCCCCTTCACCGTCAGGACTGATTATCTGAAGGTGTTGGGAATGTGTTTCCAAGTGGTCACCAGGTGTGAGGCACTCTGTCTGTTGTTGTAGGTGACATAGGTCCGGCCCATTCCCCAAATCTGCGCCGCTGCAGTCACTCGAGCTATCTTCCACTTCATCTGGAGGTCGAAGATGGACTGTGGTGGCAGGGACACCATGTACAAAACTCTGGATAAGTGGGGGAAGAATGTACCCAATGCTGCTGTCATCCTGATGGCCTCTTTTGTGTGTGGTTGTATCAAGCCGTGTGGAGACCCTCGGTACACAAACAGCAAGTGTCACTATGTGCTGAGGTTCTACCTGTCCCCAGTGTTGCGAAGGATGGATTTGGTCTTTTTCCCATGGAATGCTCCAAGTAGTTGGACCGTGCCAATATCACCTGTCTTCCGTGGAGAAATGTAAAAAGAAAAACACCTTTGACCATCGAGTCCTTCAGGAAGTGGTCAGCGGGTAGCATCCTCAAGGTCCTGTGGGAAAAGGAGAGTGTGGATCCTGCGCGTGATTCCCTGAGCAGACTGTCAAAGTCATTAGGCAGAATGTCTCATCACCGGAACTTTCCATCAAGCACCAAGACATCGCTGGGCTGGTGCTGAGAAGGGCACTACCTGTGAGATCCTTCATGTACACCCAGACTCTCTGTGCCACCACGCGCTGCCCTCGAAGCGGCAGCAGCTGGCGGGGGGTGGGGGGAGAAGAACTATCAGAAATCTCCATCTGGAATGTACATTCACAAAGGAAGTCTCAAGAGAGATGCAGTGGCTTTTGTTGAGGATCTTTGCGAGCAGCCCCGTGATGCGAGACGCCGCGCTCTACGGCCTGTTCCCTGGGACGCAC